TCTCCTGCCCAATCACTGTCGCTATATCCAACAAGTTTGTAGTTATAAAAATTTGAATAGAACAAGCCAAAGTTAACAGTACCTTTAAGATATCAAAGAATTCTTTTGGCGGTCTTCAATTGTGTAGTTGTGAGATTCTCTATGTAGCGACTGACTAATCCGACGGCATAAAGAATATCTGGTCTTGTGCAAGTCAAGTAGCGCAAGCTTCCAACTAAACTCTTGAAAAATGTTGGATCTACACTTTCTCCTTTGTCATGCTTAGTTAGTTTAACTTCACACTCTACTGGCGTGCCTATGGGCTTGCAGTCATCCATTTTGAACTTTTTCAGTATCTCCTTTGTGTAGCTTTCTTGGGAGATGAAAATACCTTCTTCGTTCTGCTTGACTTCAATGCCTAGGTAGTATGCCATCAGCCCGATGTCGGTCATCTCAAATTCTTTGGTCATCACTCTCTTGAACTCTTCATACATGCTTAGATTACTTCCGGTAAAGATTAGATCATCCACATATAAGCACACAATTAGAATATCTCCATCTTTGACTTTGACGTAGAGAGCATGTTCATAAAGGCACTTGATGAAGTTGTTCTCTTGAAAGTACTTGTCGATGCAACTATTCCATGCTCGTGGCGCTTGTTTTAACCCATAGAGAGCTTTCTTCAACTTCATAACTTTGTCTTTATGCCCTTTGATTTCATAGCCTGTCGGTTGCTGAATGTAGACTTCTTCTTCAAGGACTTCATTTAGGAAAGCGGACTTCACATCCATTTGTTGAATCTTCCATTTGTTTTGAGCTGCCAAAGAAATTAGTAATCGTATAGTTTCCAACCAAGCAACGAGTGCAAATACCTCATCATAGTCGACTTCGGCTCTTTGACTATATCCTTACACCACTAATCTCGCCTTGTACTTGTCGACCTCTCCGTTGACATTCTTCTTTGTCTTATACACCCACTTGAATCTGATGGCTTTGTGTCCTTTCGGAAGAATAGCGAGTTCCCATGTATCGTTCTACTGGATTGCTTCAATTTCTTCATCCATTGCTTTCCTCTACTTAGTATCTTGCACTGCTTCTTGGAAGTCAACTAGTTCACAATCAGCAAAGAGACATAAAAGTGTAGGATTATCGAGTCTTTCAGCTACCTCATAGAGATCTCGTAGACTTCTTTTGCGTGGTACTTCTCTTTCATTTATACTCCCACTTGATGATGTTGATGTTGGTGAATTACCATGATTGGTTGATGTTGGTGAAGCGGGTGGAGTAGTGGATTCTTGTTGAACATCTCTTGCTTGCTCCATCATCCTTTGTTCATTATCTTCTTCAAACTGAGGTAAGAAGTGAAGATCACATGCATGCCGGCCAAAATCTCATTCTCCTTCTTCATCGAACGTCACGTCTCGACTGATCACCGTATTCCCATTGTTCAGATTATACAGTGTATAGCCTTTTGAATTTGAGTCATAACCGATGAAGATGAACTTCTCACTTTTGTCGTCAAGTTTCGTCCTCCTCTCATCTGGTACATGTACATGGGCTATGCTTCCAAAAACTTTTAGATGAGAGGTACCTAGCTTTCTTCCACTCCATGATTCTTGCGGAGTCTTTCCCCACACACTTCTTATTAGAGACCGATTTGATAGGTAGATAGCACATGCTACAGCTTCTGCCCACAGCTCCTTAGGCAATCTCTTACTTTTGAGAATGCTTCGAGTCATGTCGAGGATGGTTCGATTTTTCCTTTTCGCCACACCATTTTGTTGAGGGGATCTTGGAACTGTTAAAGGTCGACGAATTCCATTGGCTTCACAGAATTCTTGAAATTCCTTCGAAGTGAATTCTCCTCCTCAATCAGATTTCATGGCTTTGATCTTGCAACCACTTTCTTTTTCTACGGCGACTTTGAACTTCTTGAATGCTCCAAATACCTTTAATTTTTGCTTCAAGAAATACACCCAGGTTTTCCTTGAAAAATCATCAATGAAGAGAAGGAAATAATTATTTTTACCCAAAGAGCTTGGTTTTATTAGACCGCACACATCAGTCTGAATGAGCTCGATTGGCTTCTGGGCTCTTGTGGTCAACTCCTTTGGAAAGCTTTTCTTGAACTGTTTCCCAAGTAAACATCCTTCGCAAGCTTGATCAGGACGACTGATGCACGGTAAACCTCTCACCATCTCCTTCTTAGACAATAACTCTAGTGCCCCAAAGTTAAGATGCCCAAAACGAAGATGCCAAAGCCAGGATGTGTCTTTGTAACATGTTTTGAGGCACTTTGCAACATTGTTTTGAATGTTCATGGGAAACATCCTATTCTTTGACATTTTCACCTTGGCAATTAATCTTCCTTTGTCATCTCTAAGAAAAATGCTATAATTTTTCATGTGAATATCATAACCTTTTTCTAAGAGTTGTCCCAAGCTCAAAATGTTGTTTTTCATATTGGGCACATAGTAGACATTTGAAATTAATTGGTGACCACCATTTTTTAGGGGAATAAGGATGTTACTTTTTCCTTTGACATGTATTTTAGATTCGTCTCCAAAAGAAATGTTGCAACTCACCGATTTATTGAGCTCTACAAACATGCTTCTTCTTCCGCACATGTGATTGCTAGCACCGGTGTCAAGGTACCATGTATAGTCTTGGTCTCCATCATTGTTCTTGCATGCTAGTAGCACAATGTCATTATGTCATTATCTTCTTTCTCTTCTTTCACATAATTGACCTTCTCATCAGGCCTGTTGCTTGGAGCTCTACATTCCCAAGCATAATGCCCAACTTTTTACAGTTGTAGCATTGAACTTGAGATTTTTCATACCTCAAGTTTGAGCGCCCTCTTCCATGACCTTTTGTTGAGCTTCATCCTCTTTCGTAGTTGCTATGGTTGTTGAAGTTCCAACCACGTCCATGTCCATGTCCACGTCCGCGACCTCGACCGCGACTTCTTTCGTACTGGCTTCTCTCGTTGTCTAAGCTTTCTTCTTTCTTCTTTGGCTGGACATGCGTCTTGAGGAGCTGCTCATCATTCCCTTGCCTCTTCTTATGTTTCTCTTCATATGCTCGTAGCGAACCCATTAATTGTTCTATACCAATTTCTTCCAAGTTTTTAATTTCTTCAATCGTCACGACAATGTGCTTGAACTTGGGGTCCAACGAGTGTAATAGTATCTTCTCCATAATTCTAACATCTTCTAACTTTTCTCCGTTTCTTTTTAATTGATTGGAAACGGCTAAGACTCTTGAAAAATAATCAGAGATTGATTTAGACCCTTTCATTTGTAGAGATTCGAACTCACCTCTTAGTACTGGAAGACGAACCTTTTTCACTTGTTCGGCACTTTTGTAAGAGGTTTAAAGCTTCTCCCATGCTTGCTTGGCAGAGGTTGCACTTGAGACCTTCTCAAAGCCATTGTCATCTAATGCTTGGTAGATGAGGTAGAGAGCCTTCTTGTCTCTCTTTCTTGAATCTTTCAAACTCTCCTTCTGGGGTTGGGACAAAGTAGCTTCATCTTCTGGCTCAATGTAGCCTTTCTCCATGACTTCCCATACATCGTGTGCTCCCAAAAGGGCCTTCATTTTGATACTCCAATTATCGAAGTTGTTGTTGTCAAGCACTGAAACTTGGAAGGCTGCCATAACGTTGCTAGCCATACATAGCTCTGGTACCACTTTGTTGGGGCTTAAAAAGACTTCACTACTTTGGAGATGTTTATCTCACAAAGAAGAATGTAATGCAGCGGAATTGATAGGCAAGACAAAGAAAGAACACTCAATGTATTACACAAGATTTTTATTCACTCACAAACTTAGTACAAGAGGGAACACTCAAACACTCTTAGAAGCTTTGTTGCTTCTTCTCACTTCTCACTACTTGCTCTCTTGGTTGTTTCAAATGGCGTGGATGCCTTCTCCTTTTATAGGCATGGATGGAACCTTGGAGAAGCATGGAAACATCATGCTAGATATATTTAGATAATTCCACTACCTTCCTATGCTAGAATTATCTACACTAATCTTGTATGTTGGTGGAATCCTCACCATTCTTCTAAACTCTTCCACCAACTTGAACTTTGCTAGAATTCTCTAGCATGTGCATGGATTTTTCTTTGTGCATGGGCTAGATCCATTATCTTTGGGCCAAGACAAGTTTAGAATTCAACATCCTCCTGGTGTTGCTATATAACTTCTTTTTCTTCAAGGTGGTAACGAAACATGTTACTTTTGTTGCACATTTCTGACTCATACCTTCTCTTTTTTCCTCTTTCGAACTCTGATACAGTGATAAAATTTTAACAAAAAAGAGAAGAAGAAAAAAAGAAGCTCAGTGGTCTGCTTCTTCAATGGAGTCCAGAATTGTTCTTTCATAGATTGAAAAGATACATATTATTCTCCCGCACTCTTTCGCAACTCTACATGTTTTATAAGTCTGAAGAAGGCTTCCTTGTAACTTCAAACCCTTTCATTTATTTGGGAGGAAAACAAACCTTTTCATTTGAATCACACAATTAGATATATATTTGTGGAAACACACCTCTCTCTCCGATGCTAAATAAATAGAGTAGCTCATAGATGTTTTCCAACTATATATTAATATTATAACAAGAACTAGAACATTAAATTTACATATGCTTCCTCCTATTCACACCAATTCGAATTCGTTTTCCGACAGTTTAGATTAATACAAAATTACTAATACAATTGAACCATCAAACTAATTAAGCTACGTACAATCTTTCCAGTAGTCGTTGGTAGTCCACGATTGGAGGAGTTAATAAGCCACTCTTAAAACACAGATCAATTATCCCCTTATAATTAAGGGTCCGCAAATAGCTTAATTAATTTGAAGGTTCCCAAATTTGGAAAACATTAAGGACCCCTGATAATTTTATCGTGACTTGCAACTCTCCAGCCCCAGGTTCCTTAACAGAATTACCGGCCACTATAAAAAAATATAAAAATAAACTCCCATGCAGTATAAAAAATAACAAAAGAAACATGTTACGTACGTAAACGTTAATTACCAAAGACCTGTAAATTTCTTCAACATGAACGCTGAACATAATAAGAAGAAGAAGTTCGCCATCATCGGCGTTTCATCTGTGATTCTAGTAGCCATGGTGGTTGCCGTAACGGTTGGGGTAACCACAAAAAACAAAGTAGGGGGAGGGCACAAAAACTCGGACGGCGGGCATGTCACCACGTCGACCAAAGCAATAAAGGCTATATGCCAGCCGACGGATTATAAGGAAACCTGCGAGAGGAGTCTGGAATCGGCTGCTGGCAACAGCACGGAGCCGAAAGACCTCATCAAGGCAGGTTTCAACGTTACCATGGACAAACTTCGGGCCATCATAAAAAACTCCACCACATTGCAAGAACTGGCCAAGGACGAAAGTACAAACCAAGCTCTAGAAAATTGCAAGGAGCTCTTGGAGTATGCCATCGACGATCTCACGACATCTTTCCAAAAATTGGGTCCTTTCGACATCAGCAAGATCGATGATTACGCGGAAGATCTCAAGGTCTGGCTCAGCGCGGCTATTACTTACCAACAAACATGCTTGGACGGGTTTCAGAACACCAAAGGCGACGCCGGCGACAAGATGAAGCGTTTCTTGAACACCACGCAACAGCTCACCAGCAACGGACTTGCCATGGTGACCGAAATTACTTCCGTGCTTGGGTCTCTCAATTTGAAAGCAAACCGGCGTCGTTTGCTGGCAGGGGGAGGGGGTGGAGGTAATGCGAAGAATGCTCCAAAGGTTATTCCTACGTGGATCAACAATAAGCGTAGCCTCGACGTGTCTACCGTGACTCCACAGTCGATTAAACCGGACGCAGTGGTGGCTAAGGATGGGAGTGGACAGTACGAGACTATTGGTGAAGCTGTGAAGATGATCCCGAAGAACAATGCGGACAAGACGTTTGTGATTTATGTGAAGGAGGGAGTGTACAGTGAGTATGTCATGATTGACAAGTATATGACCAACGTCATGTTGATTGGGGATGGCGCTACTAAGACCAAGGTCACCGGTAGCAAAAACTTCGCTGCGGGAGTCCAAACTTTTCAGACTGCAACAGTCGGTAAGTATTTGAGCGAAGTCTCTTACAAACTTTGTTCTCTTTGGGACATGTATACGTGGCATGTGTAATATAGATTTTCACAATATGACAATATAACAGACATACTAGCATAACATAGCGTAAATTATATGTAGCTGTTTGAGACTTGAGAGATTATTTCGTTGTAAGGGACGACATAGGATTATAGAATGACCCGAACTCATACATGAATCATGACGTTCTTATGATTAATTATGACTTACTTATGAATCGTGATTGTTCAAGGGCCCTTGAAAATTCAGCTGAGCTCATACATAACATTGTACATTAGCAAACTACATATGATTTATACTTATGTATTATAATTTTAATCATAACCAATATTTAGTATTAACAATTTGACAACATATAACACGTTAATAATTAACTAGTTGATATTTCATTGATATGCAGTTGTAGTTGGGGACTACTTCATTGCTAAGGACATAGGGATTGAGAACTCAGCAGGAGCCGAAGGGCACCAAGCCGTGGCTCTGCGAGTGCAGTCGGACTTGTCCATCTTCTACCGCTGCCAAATGGACGGGTACCAAGACACTCTCTACACTCAAACCCACCGGCAATTCTACCGCGACTGCACCATCAGCGGCACAATCGACTTTATCTTTGGAGACGCTGCCGTAGTGTTCCAGAACTGCAAGATGATCGTAAGAAAACCAATGGACAACCAAGCTTGCATGGTCACAGCCCAAGGGAGAATTGACCGGCGTCAGCCCTCGGGTATCATCCTCCAAAACTGCACCATCTCCGGGGACCCGGAGTACATTCCCGTGAAGGACAAGAACAAGTCGTACCTGGGGAGGCCGTGGAAGAACCTAGCTAGGACCGTCGTGATGCAGTCGCAGATTGATGGCATCATTGCTCCGGAAGGGTGGATGGAGTGGACGGGTTCGAACAATCATCAAAGTTGCTGGTTTGGCGAATACAGAAACAGAGGGCCTGGCTCCCACATGAGCAAGAGGGTGAAGTGGAGCGGCATCAAGAATCTTAGTGCCGACCAGGCTGTCGCTTTCACCTCCGGTAAGTTTGTTGAGGGTGATAAGTGGATCAAGCCCAGCGGTGTGCCTTACGTTGCTGGCATGGTTTCCGTTTAGGGTTTTAGACAAACAGTTTAGTGGCCTCTTTTATATTTTCAACATTCCGAAAGGATAGGAAAAGAAGAACATATGACTAATAATCTTATTCTTTATGTATGATTGTTGTAGATATTGTTAATCGTGTGGCTATCCGCAAGTATATTTGGAGCCCATATATGTGTAATATTAGATATTTTGAGGAGTCTTAGTTTTTGTAAATTGTAGGAGACCTTAGATGTTTATATCCATGGTCGTCCGAATACACTCAATTCTTCTAATTTTCTTCATTCACATTCTGTCCTATTTTTGTAACAATTGTAATCAGGAAATATAAGAAATTGGCATTTTATGATCTTGAGTAGTTATGATACTATGTTTTTTTTTTTTTTTTGAGTATTTATCAAATATAGCAAAAAAAATCACCTTTAATTTCAAAAAAGTAACTTTTTATAATAATAAAATTCAAATATATCCAAATTCCACTTAAATAGACACAAATACCTCAAATTTAATAATCAAATAAATTAAAGGCTTTTTAGCCACCATTGGCTCAAATTCCGGTCCAACTTCACATTCGCTCCTACACTCCACCACCATAACCCTATCCCCTTTGACCCCCTCATCATCGACATTGAGCGCTACCTCAGATACTTCGAGTGAGAGTAGCAGAATTTCAATCATGCCTTCAACGCCTTCCTTCTTCCCACGACTTGAATCTCAGCCCCTGTCGCCAATTCATGGATGCAGAAACTCTTTCTGAATCACATCAATTCTCTATAATCTTCGAACCCAATTGGAAAAGGAAAATTTTAAGAAAGAAACACTAAATTTATCTCAGGGTGCCAAAATTTGGATTGGAAGGTGGATGGTTTGGATTGTGAGAGAATAAGGGTTTAGGTAGGTTAGGGCTTTTGATTTGGGCATGTATGTTGGATTTACCCACCAAATGTAGAAGACGACTTCTTCTTTTTGTTTTTATTTTTTTTATTTTTTATTTATAATTTCTATTTTTATAAAAATAGTTTTTAAAGTTAATTCACATGTCGTTATATGATTGTATTTGTGAGCCCTACATGGCACCACATCATCGTAATAACAGAGCAATGATAAATTTTTTACAGAAAAACTAAAATGATCACAATGGACAAACTCAAAAAAAGACTAAAATGATTCATGATAGACAAATTCAATGACACTATTACTGATTTTTATTGTTAAGCACCAGACTTAGGAGTTATGTAAATGTTACGAACCATTTTGGCTAAAAGATCTTTAATTTATTTGATTGTTGAATTTGAGGGTATTTGGGTCTATTTAAGTGAAATTTTGGATATATTTGAAAGTTTTTATAAAAAATGACATTTTTGAAACTAAGAGTTAGTTTTTGGTTATATTGAGAAATACCCATTTGTTTCCCTATCTAATGTGAAGGAGTACACTTTTAATGTAATTATGATACTAGTTTTAGGTTTTTTTAACTTTAATTAATTTGTTGTTGGTGCAATATCAAGCTTTCTATATGTTAATGATATATTGCAATATAGTTTACAATTATACATAGTAAGAGTAAACGTACAAGCGAAGAGTTTTGGATTCTCTAATATAACTATGAGGAGTAGTTTACAATTATACATAGTTAAGAGTAAACGTACAAGTGAAGAGTTTTGGATTCTCTAATAGAACATTACCCTTACATATGATATGAGGAAACTTAAGAATATTGAGAGTTTTGGATTCTCTAATGTAACATTACCTTTACATTTGATATGAGGAAACTTCAGAATATTAAGAAAATGTTCAAAAACAACAAAGTCTTATTCTACTAAGTAGGATCCACTGTATGAATCCTAAAATGCTACTGCGCCCAAATTTTCGCCAAGTTTTCCGTTAGCTCCAAGCATTCCATATCTTTTTTTAAAGTCTATTTCCAAGTCTTTCTCTACTATTTTTTCCCTAAGCATATGTCTCATAATTGCATTTCCTAACCAAAGTATCTGTAGATATTCGTTTCACATGTCTGAACCACCTAAACCAATTTTTTCTCATCTTATCTTCAATTGTGACAACTCCTACTTTACCTCGGATATGCTCGTTCTTAATCTTGTCCCCTTGCCCACACATCCAATTCTAACGAAGCATTCTAATATCCGCTACGCTCATTTTTTTGCACATGTTGATACTTAACTGCCTAACATTTTGTATATTAAAGCATTGTTGACCTTATTGCTTTGCTTTAAAATTTTCCATTGAGACTTATTGCCAATGACAGAAATTATTCTTACAGAAGTTGTGAAGGTGGGTTTTTTTTTTATATTTTTTTTTTTTACACAAGATAACGTTATTGACTTAAATTGATAGTTGTTAAGGAGAGAAGGATCGGTAGGAATCGAACCTACACCAAGATGCATAAGCATCATTGTTTCCACCATTGTGATAAAGCATCATCTACTGTGAAGGTTTTTGTTTGGCAAACATAAAAATATTATGAAATATAATGTGTCAATTAATCAATAAATGAGAGGTGATATTTAGCAAATATACTAGTGGTGGTGGAGGTTGCGGTTGTGACTATAAGGGCTTGAAAGACAAAGTCTCACATTAGAGAAAGAACCTTGCAAGAGCTTATAAGGTGTTAGCTCATTCCTCATATGTCAATATGGTGGAACATCAAATTTCTTTATGGTATCAGAGTAGGTTGACCAACATGTGAAATCCAACAACTACAAGTATTTTATGTCACTTGATTTGCATTGTTCACATGCTAAGTTTGAACATTGTCATACATAAAGAGGCATGTTGGCGGTGAAGATGATGGTTGGGATCATGTGATGGCAAGGTGGTGATGGTCATGATCATGGTAATAGCGATGATGGTGGGTGTGTAGCGGAAATGACATCCAACATCTGCAACTAGTTGAAAATGGGTGGGAGCACCACATAAAACAAGCAACACAAGCTAGGGGTGGGCATGGCCCAAGCCGTGTCCAACTTTGGAATAATAACCAAACTGAACCCCTTTGGAAATGAAACAGGGAGGAAGGGGTGGGGCAAGGCGGGGCCATATTTTTAAAAATAAAACCAGATTTAACCCGACTTGTTTGAAATAGGTCAGTTCCAATGGGTCCACAAGTCCATTTCCTGATGCCAAGAATTCTCCAAAGGCAACGTTAAGTAATGCTTGTGTTTATCTTCTACTTCCTCGCTACAAATTCCTAACTAGAACAAAATGCAGAAAAACTCAAATCTAGAATTTGTATCCACCTAAGTTCCTAACTAGGACCAAAGGCAGAAAAAACCCAAATCAGTGAAAATAATAAAAAAAAATCCTAAATCAGACTCAAATCAGTAAACAGTGTAATAACTGAAATACAGGTGTGAATTACTGATTGGTTAAAATATAATAAGGAGAAATGTAGAAGATTGCAGCATAGGAAAATTAGTTAGAAATGTGGTATTATAAAAGCTGTTGTAAAACGTTTGCTATTCATTCAATACAGTTAGTCATTTTCTTTCCGCTGCTTATTGTCTTTCTCTCTCTCTCTTCAAGCTTCCTTGAATTCTTTGATCTTCATCTTCTTGAAATCATTTGTTCTTGTTATCACAGTGAACCTTTAATGAACTCGAGGATCTTTTTAAAGGCTCATGGGCTCAAACCAAGCAAACCAAGATCGACGAAGATGGTGGTCAGGTGGTGGGTGAGAGGTACCTCGATCGACAAGAAATAGGCTAACACTAGAGTGGAAGATGCTTCGGATGCGGCTTAAGATTTTTACACCACTAGAGGGTGCTGCAAGGGCAAAACAGTTACCAGCAAAAATTCTGAGTGTTGCATGCCGTGATCACCTTCTCATTGCTGATATTCCTATGGCAAAGGGCATTTCTGCAGCAACCACCACTACTCTTGTCAAGATTGTATTCGTAGCTCATGTCGCGAGCTTGGAGAATGGGTCAACATGGTGGTCATGTGGTGGGTGGGAGGGACCTCAATGGACGGGATGAAGACGAAGAGTAGAGAGAGAGACATAGACTAGATCAGGTGGTGAGTCTGAGAATTTTGGATATTAGAGTTGGGAGAGACACAGACTGAGAGAGGGAACATATTGATATTTATTTGATATGTGTGGGAAATCACAAATCAATGACGGAAACAATTCGACCCAAAGGCTCGTTTCCTCAAATTTTTAGACTCGCCTGCCCCACTAATTACGTGGATCCGTCCCACCCGGCCTTGTTTTGTGTTTAAAATTTTAAACTCGCTTCAAACCCACCCTAACCCGCAAGGACCCGCCTCAACCAACGAGTCCAGAGCCATTGTGCCCACCCCTAGCACAAGCTGCAACCACTGGAAACAAACACCACTGTGTCACATCAGCAACAACAACGTGAGGAAAGAACAAAACCCCAAGATGATGGCAACAAAAAATACCCTAACTATCAATGTGGACATTTCATACTCACAAAATAGACTTATTAGCATCAGAATTGGCAATTTTCAGAAAGCTCAACCTAAGTCTAATAATGGACTTAATTAAGATAAAAAAAAACACCCCCATCTAGTTGACAATAATTCTTGAATCTATGTTTCGCTCTCTCCAAATTTCGCATACCATATCATGGTGGTACTTCCATTGAAAGCTTGACCGTGTCCTCTATTTTTATATTAAATTTGAAATTCAGTTTATGTCTCTCAAAAAATAAAATAAAAAAATCGCTTGCATCTGCAATCACTTGCACTACAGAGACTCAGAAAAGCAGTTGCTTGCAGTAGTACAACGTCTGCAATCAACAAGTAGGCCCCTTCTTGTTCCCAAATCCAACAACTGCGGTGATGAATTCCCGGTTGTAGTGCAAGCGCTTGTAGACGTAGCCTTTCGGCTTCTTCTTGTCTTGCTTGGCGACCTTTGGGGTCTGACCCCTAACTTTCCCGGCACGTGCGAGCAACCAGCTGTGAACCTTACCCATGGCTGATTGCAGATACTGCTGCTATTTTGCTGGTAGATAGACTGAGAACGACAGGGCATATATATGTGTCTATTTATCATTGTTTTTTTTTTTTAACAAACAATAATATCTACACTGGAGGTGTGGAGTGAGTTAATCTTACAAATGTGGTTCAACTTCATCTTTGGTTAGAATCGAACCTAAGACCTCTCACTTACAAGTAAAGAGTAATTACCATAGTATTGAGTGACATCATTTTTATGTTTCTTCCTTTTTCATAATTTTTAATTTCAAACTAAAAATGGGAGTATCATAAGTGAGATCGTACTATTGTACCATACCATAATTTCTTCAGAATGGGTGATAGTTTTAGACCATTTCCAACTCTTGGGTTAAAACTTAAAATTTTTCACTCGAA